CCCCCCCCCAACACAATCCTCACCTGGGTAGGTCAACAGCAGCAAGGAGAGGGGACCTTGATTTATTGAGGAAACTGGAGGGGGGAGACTGTTCAGCCTCAAACTTAGAGAGGCATCGTCATTACTGTAGGAACATGCTACAGTTAGCCTGCAAAAAAAGGGGAAAAAAAGCCCCAAGAGAAAGTGTTTGACATCTGAGCAAGGAGTAAGCAGCTAGAGCATTGCAGCAGTGCCAGTAGCAAGCTTGGCTTGTTACTGGGTTTCCAGGGAAGGAGGAAGAGGAGTCTAGACATACCTGAATTCACTGTCTCTAGAAATTATATGCAGGGCTAGATCTGCCCATAGTGAACTTACTTCATTCTCATAAATTATTCTCCCACCTTCAAACTGGGAGGGGGAGAAAGAAGAGAAGAGAAAGATCAGAGAGTTAGCAACCATTGTACCATCAGAACACAGAAGGTCCATCCTAAAAATGGACACTTACCATCTGCCGTGTCCCACACTTGTTCAAGGGTACATGAAACCGCACCATATCATTAGATGGAGACTTGAAGACTGGTTTGCATGTAGGATCTCTTAGCCTGAGAGTGTCCAAGTCCAGAGGGGGGTTTGTTCTGTCTGCAAGAACCTCAAAGTTCATGTGTCCATCCTGGGTACAGACAGCAGCTGAAAACAGAAGTTCCCAGGAGACTACACTGATTCCCCATCAGGTCATTATGATGAAGCCTCATGCTTAGTATAAACTGAGGCAATACATTAGTTCCAGCCAACAAATTTAAAAAGTGGGCAGCTCTTGTAGGGACAGATGCACAGTAGTGAGCTGGTTCTTAGAGTTTGCAAGCAGCTCCCTGGGTTCTGGGATGCTCAGGGCCAATTTGTCGTCTTCATCTCTAGGGTTGAGGAACTCATTTCTTCCATGAGGACAACTAGTGATTATTCATCCCCTGCACCCAAGGGGTAGGCAAAAAGCACAGCTGCCACAGTGCCAGATGTGACATGCCACCATCTGGACACCAGAAGGATTTAAAGAAAGAGGAGGTACAAATGAATCTTTGTACCAAGTCTGTTCATTACAGCCTTTGCACATGGGATTCAATAGCTGAATGCTATTTTGATTAGAAGAAATGTTCTTCTTACTAGGAGTAGATAAGAGGAAGTGAGAGGGAGTCAGCTTTTTTTTTTTTTTAAAATGGGGATTTCGTATTAGAAGCCTGGAGTTTTTGGCAAGCAGCCCTTCATTTGCAGATATCACTGACTTCTGTCTAGTGCCCTTACCTACTGGGGCAGGCTGGTCGCAGGGACATGCTGGATACGTCACCATTGATACCATCTCTCCATGGAAGTTGAAAGTTAGTTTCATAGAAGACATGTAGAACTGAAGTCCCAAGCAGTTCTCACCATATGGCTGGAAGAACAGATATTTGCTAGCACAATAATTTGTACCTCTATGCCATCCCTTGAAGAGAGATCCATCTTAAGCATCCCTGCAGTTAGTCACCTCTCAAAGTAATGGTAGCATCTTGCATCAGGATCAAGTAAGGGG